CCGCACCACAACTGGCACCGCCTTCCACCACCTCCGGAACATCGCCAGACTACAGCACTACCTCACCCCTCACGCTGCTGAAACTCTGGTCCACACCTTTATCACCTCAAGGCTGGACTACAGGAACTCTCTCCTCTTCGGCCTTCCTATCACCTCCCTCCACAAGCTGCAGATCATTCAGAACTCTGCAGCTCGTGTACTGTCCCGCACCAGGCTTCGTGACCACATCACTCCCACCCTCGCTCGCCTCCACTGGCTCCCCATCCCCCAGAGGATCGAATTCAAGATCCTCATTCTCACCTACAAGGCCATTCACAGCCTCGCTCCCTCCTACCTCTCCGACCTACTATCCCCCTACTTACCTGCTCGTATCCTCCATTCCTCTGGCTCCGTCTGCTCCACATCGCCTGCCCCAACCGCCCTACCATCGGTGGCACGGGCTTTCAGCCTCCCAGCCCCTAGGCTCTGGAACTCCATCCCACAGTGCCTTCGCCTTGCTTCCTCCCTTTCCTCCTTCAAGGCCGGTCTCAAGACCTTTTTCTTCAACCTTCAGCTCCCCTTTCGACTCTCTACCCCCTCCTCATTCCCTCCCTTCCTTCCCCTCACGCGGACCATTTCCCCCCTGCTCGGGTTCCGACCCAACTGTCCAGCGCCTTGGGACGTCCTCCCGATGTGAAAGGCGCTCGATAAATCCAATTTTGTTGTTGTTGTTGATGATGTCTTCTTATCAATGTTTTTTTTATTATTGAGTAGCTTGGTTGGTGAAACTGCTTTATCTCTTAGGAGGTGCTCGCTCTGTCCATTGATATTTGTTGTAAAGTCACTTTTGGTTTTATTAGTCGAAGCAGAGTTTTCCCCATTTTTTGAGGGGCAGGAGAATTGAACTAAGTATTGCCAGTTCCTGGCCTGTATTTTTCCTGTCAATGTAATAATCTCATGTTTGGCATTGATTCAGTATCTGTTTGGTGATACTCTGCATTGTTGTGTATTTGGTAAGTCCAGGGATGGGGTTGCCATGAATGAATTACTTTATATTTTAATTATAACATTTTTATATTAGAATCTATGCAAATAGTTTGTTAGCCTGGTTCAGTTGGTAGCACTCTTACCTCTGAAGCAAAAGGCTGTGGGTTCAAGCCTCATGTCGGGACTTGGAACTCATATAGTTCCTAAACTGACCCTGCAATTCATTGCTGAGAGGGCCCAACATTTTTGGAGGTGCTGTCCTTCGTAAATTGGTAAAAGGATAGAAAATAAAGTAAGGACAGATTCAAAGCAAGAATTTGCCTATTTTAGTATCTTGCATAGTCTGCCTGTTCACACGAATGTTAAAGATCCCATGGCATGATTTGAAAGAGAAGGGAGTTTCCCCCAATAAAATTGGTCATTCATTTCATGGCTGTTTGCAGTGTGCAGATTGGCTGCCACATTTGCTCGCAAAATGCACGGTCATTCCGGTTTACTGAATATCCTGCGAAGCACTTCAGGATGTCCTCCTGATGTGAAAGGCGATATTTCAAATGTAAAGTTTATTATTGATAATAATAAATACGAAATGGCCTATTATTGGCAGAAAATAATGAAAGAGGCCTTGAAATAAAATACGTTTGACAAACTATTCTAATGAGGAAATTTGTCAAACTCATCTACCCCTGTGGCTCTTTAGATAACATTGTGCCAACAACAACAACTTGCATTTATATAGCACCCTTCACGTGGGCTAGAGACCCGGATCGCTTGACAGTGGTGGAGTCTGACCACGAGTCAGGGGGAGAAGCGCTATGGGATGTTACCCCTTGTGAAGAGCGCTATGTAAATGCAAGTTGTTGTTGTTGTTGAGAGGGAGTGGGGAGGTGACCGTAAGCACGCTGAAAAAGGAAGGCCTAGGCGGGTTTTGAATGTGGAGAGGGAGGGGGCAAGGTGGAGCGATTGAGGGAGACAGTTCCAGAGTTTAGGGGCATTGTGGCTGAAGGCACAGTCACCAATGGTAGAGCGGAGGGGATGAGCTGCAGAACTCTGCAGCTCGTGTACTGTCCCGCACCAGGCTTCGTGACCACATCACTCCCACCCTCGCTCGCCTCCACTGGCTCCCCATCCCCCAGAGGATCGAATTCAAGATCCTCATCCTCACCTACAAGGCCATTCATGGCTTTGCTCCCTCCTACCTCTCTGACCTACTATCCCCCTACTTACCTGCCCGTACCCTCCGTTCCTCTGGATCTGGTCTGCTCCACATCCCCCGCCCCAACTGCCCTACCATCGGTGGCCGGGCCTTCAGCCTCTCAGCCCCGAGGCTCTGGAACTCCATCCCCCAGTGCCTTCGCCTTGCTTCCTCTCCAATGCCTTGACATCCTTCTTAAAGTGTGGGGCCCAGAACTGAACAAAGTACTCTAGCTGAGGCCTAACCAGTGTTTTATAAAGGTTCATCGTAACTATGTGGAAGTTGACCCCATGTCTGCAGATGACATGGCTGAGTGGGAGCATGTAGATAAGGAAGAGGACGGGGCCAAGGATGGAGGCCTTTGTGGACACCCTGTACCTTCCTATTCACCAGGAGAACTTCCTGATAATCTCTGAAATGATCCATAGAATATCTTTTACAATTTATCGGAGTGCCCAATAATCATGGCTGAATGATGGCACAAGATTCAAAGTAAAAATTTTAATATTATAGTATCCTTGACAACAATTCCCATGATAAAATTGGTTGTTCAATCATGGGTATGTATGTGGAATATTGCTATGCGCAAACTACAAAGAGTCACCTCCTATTCCGTTTACCTAACTTCCCTCTCAGGCCTGTTGTGAATTTACATGTGTATATGGTTTTTACCACTTCCTGCTGCATCTCTGTGAATTACATAAATGCTAATGGAAGTGTAGACAAATTCTGCTATTGTTACTGTGAGATTGTCTATCTAACCTGAGAGGGTAGAACACACACCACGTGCACCATTGGACTAGTTAAGTTACAACACTTTTGGGCTAGTTAAGTTATAATAAGCCTTGATACAGAACCTAGAAAGATAAAGCAACTCAAAGCATTTCATAGGTAGGTAATTTCTATCAAGTGCAGTGATTGTGTATTTTGTAATCGCCAATTTGTGCACAGCAATGTCCCACAAACAGTCATGAAGTGAATAACCAATTTTATCTGCGGGATTGTTGGCCAGGATACTGGGAGAAACTCCTTTGTCTTTTTGAATAGTATCACAATATCCACCTGAACAGGCAGATGGGTTCTCTGTTCAATGTCTTACCCAAAGATTTCTTTTCAGGAGTCCTGTAGCTCAGTGGTTAGAGCACTCGCTTTGCAAGCGAGAGACCTGAGTTCAATTCCAGGCAGTGCGAAACCTTGGGCAAGTTTCCTTACTCCACACGCCTTATAATAATCCCTCCAAAACCAAAAAACAATAATAAATTGGTCATTTTCAATCTACGACTGTTTGTGGGACATTGCTGTGCGCAATTGGCTGCCGCGTTCGCCCACAAATATATAGTCAATTCACTTTACAGTGTGTTCTGTGAAGCGCTTTGGGACGTCCTCCCGACGTGAAAAGCGCTATGTCAACATGCAAGGATTATTATTATTATTATTATTATTAATGGCACCTCTGACAGTGCAGTGCTTTCCCCAACACTGAACTGACTGTGCAGTGGGTAAACCATGTATAAATTATCCGAAAATTAAGGTGCACTGTTATGAGTTTAGCAAACCAATTCTTTTCAGGATAGCATTGGGCTCAGCTGATGTCTCTGTCAAATGTTTTCAGCTTAGGAGGAACAGAGAAAATAGGAGGAAAAAAATTGACAGACTCACCTTCCACTCCCACCATCCTTATCATGGAATCCTAGCATGTTACAGCACAGAATGTAATACTGACAATCAATCCTCCAGGTTATTCGGTCATTCATCTCGTAACTGTCTGTGGGACTTTGCTGTGTGCAAAAATGGAAGCTGCATTTGCCTCCAAAAAGCAACAACAACAACAACAACAAGATTCCATTTATAAAGCGCCTTTCACGTCAGGAGGACGTCCCAAGGCGCTGCACAGTTGGGTCATGACCCGAGCAGGGGGGAAATGGTCAGGGTGAGGGGAGGAAAGGGAGGGAGCGAGGAGGGGGGAAATGGTCAGGGTGAGGGGAGGGAAGGGAGGGAGCGAGAAGGGGGAAGAGAGTCGAGAGGGGAGCTGAAGGCTCGGTCAAAGAGAACGAATCACTATGTGGCTGGACATTAACTTGAAGTTAACTTGAAGCTCTTTGAGACATTTTGGAGCTACAGGCAATAAAAAACTGTATTGATTTGTGGTATTTCTTAAAACTACTAGAATTCAGGTCGACCTACACAAATGCCACTCCAGAGGTAGGAGTCCCCATTTGCTTGACTCGAGATTACAAATTAGACCCCATTTAGAGTATTCAATCATATTCTCACCACTGAAAATAGAAATAATAATGCGGTGTCTTTCTTTTCATAAAAACAAGCCATGATAAAAAATATATTTGGTATATCCTTACATGGAGGACGTCTCAAAGAGCTTCACAGAAATATACTCTAACATGTAGTGACTATCTGTAGGCAGAAGTGGCAGCCAAGTTGCACACAGCAATGTCTCATAAACAGCCGTGAAGTGAATGGGCAATTTAATTTGGGGGATTGTTGGCCAGAACACTGGAAGAAATGCCCTTCTCTTCTTGAGTCATGTCATGGAATCTTCAGCCTCCACTTGGACAGACAATTTACAATCTCATCCAAAGGATGACACCTCCGATAATGCAACCCCCCACCCCAAACGCTACATTGGAGTATGAGCCTAGACTGTATGAGCTCAATATCCCAATGCAACACATGAACCCACGACTTTCTGTCTCGAGAGCTGAGCGTGTTACCAACTGAGCCAGGCTGTCACATGGGTGCCGTTTCACCCATCAGTACAAATCTGCCCCAGTGTTATATTTTTTCTCCACACGAGGAGCCTAATCTACTGTCTCTTCAACAGAGTCTGTGGCTGTAAATACTTATCTAAGATGATATTGCCAAGTGACCCTGACCTCACCTATCTTCACTTACCGACATTCGCTGGAAGGTGAGGAGGGATCTGCCCGCAAAAGCCGCCGGTTGAATCTCATGTTGAGTTTGTGTCTGAACAATTTGTACATGAGATTACAGTGCACTAGCAATGCTAATGTGTCAGATATCAAAGAGGCAGGAGGTTGAGTGCAAGACCCAAAGAGGTCACTGACTGGAGCAGGGAGAGGATAGGAAAGTGAAGGGGATGAAAGCGGAGAAACAGCAGGAGGGAGACTGACAAACTGAGACAGGTGTGAGGGGGAGGCCAGGGGAGAGAGAAACAGGAGACTGTAACAAACTGAGAACAGAGAGGAGGATCGTAACACAATAATCCAATAATAATCCTTGCATTTGATTTAGCTCTCTAAAATAGAAATGTTACTGTTAAATGTAGTGATTGTGTTTTGTAGAGGTTGTCTGGTCACAGGTTCATAGCGTTAAATTTGGAGTGTTTTTTTAATGTTATTAAAGGTTCAGTCACAAATTACACAGCCACGGCACTTTACAGTATATCTTTTGTAGTGTTTTGGGACACCCTCCCAATGTGAAAGGGACTATTCCAAATGTAAGGATTGTCATTAAAACAGTTTGTTCAAAATCTCTATATCCACAAAGTCTCCGAGCTAGGGTTACTGTGATCACCTGTGAAGCAGCATTCAAGTAATAAGGTGCTGAGCAAATGCAAGGATAATTATATTATTACTATAGTTGGACAGTAAAATACTAAAACCAAATTTATAATTTTCAGCTGGAACAGACTATTCCTGCAGTGCAAAACGGGAGACTTTTTGGTGGGTGAACATGGGCTTGTTCTCAGAGGTGCCATCCTTTGGACGAGATATTAAAGAAAGGAATCTCTCTTGTTCCCTTTGATCGCAAAGCTATGCAGGCTGAAATTCCGCAAGAGACTAGGCTTCTACTAGCTTTTCTTAGCATTTCGCAGTATCCAAAACTTGTTGAATTGTTTAATTTTGAGGCTGTTTTTACTAAATTTCAGACTGAATTTAAGAATTTGCTAAGTTCTGGATACTATAAAATGTGAATAGCTGAAGTCTAGACCCAGGAAAGGTCTAGAGTGAATTTCAGTACAAGTCAGCACTGGGAGAAGATTGGAGGGGCAAAATATAAAATAAAGTTGTTTTAAAAAAAATTGTAAACATGTACAAACATGTACAAGCACATAGATGCAAACACAAATAAACATGGAGCACATACACATTGCAGAATTTGAATGTTTTTTGACCAGTTGGTTTCGCCAGCATTGCTTGTGGGTTTGCAGGTGTCGAGAGTACAAAAGCCTGAGAAAGTTTGCAAATGAAGGGCGTCTTATTTACAAATGAAATGATACATGATGCAAATATGTGGTGCGCCTGGCGGACTATTTCTTTGAATCCATTGATCAGCAGAATAACTAGTATTGGAAATGCCCACCTCAGGGAGGTTTTCGCTGACACAGTGGAAGAGGTTGCGTAACTTCACTAAGTGCAAAACTTGGAAGAGTGTTTATGTGTTCCTAGCACAGATAAAAAGTTCTGGGTGTAGCTGCTGTATGTTATATCAGCCTGTGATAGAGCCTGGCGGCGGTAACAAAGGAAATCCTGTGAATGAGATTAGACTGCTGGATAGTGTTAATTACACAACTCGGGGGCCCACTATTCCATCTAATCTAAACCTATACAATTATTTTACCTTACAAATTTTACCATGTTGCAGAACTGTAGAAAATTCCTCATTTCAGTCTTAATTTGGAAGCTGTTTTTTCTCTAACGGAAACATGTCAAATTAAGACTGAGTTCGGAAGATCCTGCACCATCTTAAATTTTAAGATAAAGTAGTCGTACAGGCGAAAGTTAAATTTCAGATCTTTGATCTTAAGATGTAAAATCGCACAGAACTGTAGAATTCTTCAATTCTGTCTTAATTTGGAAGCTGGTGACTTTAAAGGAAGGAAACCCAACATTTAAATTTGGTGGTTGAAGCAGAATCCCTAATATTCCTTTAAAGGGCATTAGTGAAATATTTGAGCACAAAATATAAATTTTGAGGAAAAGGTGTGGAAGTAAAAGGTGAGCTCTATTATTAGTTTTCCAAGACAAAATTGAGTTATGAGCTCAGACTGGGTAGACTTTTAAGGCCTCTGAATCACTACAATATCATAGCATTTATATTTATAGTACTTTTCAGGTCTCAAACTGCATTCACAGTGCTGGATGGGTACCCAAGCTGGGAGCCGAGGATGGGGTTGGAGAGTGGGCAGGGAATGATGACTAACAGCATGGCCAAGAGGTACATTTTGAGATGTGGCTTGTAAGAAGGGAGGAAGTTGGATGGAGTTCCACAGAGCGAGGGCAGAATGGCTGTCGATGGTGGGGATTTCAGCAACAAACCCACATGTTTCCTGAAGTTGTTCCACATAATTGGGGTGCTTTTTTTCTCACGCTGAAAGTTTTCCTGCGAGAATCTCGCACCTGCATTGTTCACGCAATGCTTTCAGGGTTGGTTGGTGCGCTGAGGAGTCCTGTAGCTCAGTAGTTAGAGCACTTGCCTCATAAGGGAGACCTGGGTTCGATTCCTGGCAAGGCAAAACGTTGGGCAAGTTTCCTTACTTCGCACACCTCTGTTTACCTAGCAATAAGTAGGAACCTGGTTGTTAATCGATTGGTGGATCCGGCGGTAATGATTCCTTGAAAATTTTTTTTTAAAAAACATTGGTCACTCAGTCCATGACTGTTTGTGGGACATTGCTGTGTGCAATTGGCTGCTGTGTTTTAATCATAAAAATATACAGTCAATTCACTTTACAGTATATTCTGTGCAGTGCTTTGAGACGTCTCGAAGATGTGATAATGCGCTATATCAAATGCAAGGATTATTATTATTATTTGAGCTATTGCATAATATGGCAGCGCTGCCTTTGTGAGATTGGCTGAAGTATTCAGCAGATCCTGGAGGCACCGTGTGTAGAATGTCTGGCTGACCCTTTATTGAGGACCTCCTTTACAAATTACATTTTTGTATAGCGCCGTTCACGTCAGGATGACGTCCTAAAGCGCTGGACAGTCAGGGTCCACACCCGAGCTGGTGGTTGGGATGAGGATGGGTGGAGGGCGGGGAGGGTAAAGGTAGGAGGGTGACCGAAGGCACGGTCGAAAAGGAGGGTCTTGAGATGGGTCTTGAAGGAGGCTTTGGCTGTGATGGTAATACTTCAAAATAATCCTTGCGTTCGATAGCCAGGCTCCTCTAGCTCCCAATCACTGAACAGATCAACTTCAGATCCTCATACTTGTGTTCAAATCCCTTCACTCTCTGGCACCTTCCTACATCTCCGACCTCTTCACTTCCCAATCCACCACCCGGCACCTCCACTTGATTGGCACTGGATTCCTGCTTGTCCCTCACACCCTCTGCCCCACCATCGGAGGTCGCGCTTTCAGCCACTATGCCCCGAAACTCTAGAACACTCTCCCTCAATCCCTCCGCATTGTCCCCTCTCTCCGCTTTTTCAAGTCCCGCCTGAAAACCTTTCTCTTCAACCAGGCATACAGCCACATCCCCCCCGGCTTGCAGTCAGGTTCCGCCACCATTAAGCGTTCCAAGACTCTACCCTGTGTGGAGGGCACTATGTAAGTGCAAGTTGTTGTTGTTGTTGATGCTTGTTCTCCACTTCCTTGGTTCCACTGTTGGTGGCCAAACTCGAGCCACTACACTCCCACACGTTGGAGCTCTCTCCCAAAATCCCTTCACTTTGTACCTCTCTCCTTGCTTTCAAAGCTCTTTTAAAAACCTTGGGTCAGGAACATTAAACATTCCCTTTTTACCATCCTGCTTGCTGATTCCCTTTGTCAAGTGGTTCGAGCAGTTTTACCTGCATGAAAGGCACTTTGAATGTTAAATGTTTATCTTGTCATTTTGGTGGCATCAAAAAATATATAGGCAACTCATTGTACAGTACATTCTGCGAAGCACTTTGAGAAGACTCGAAGACGCGATAATGCGCTGTATCAAATGCAGATATTATTTTTATCAAGGGTCTGTGCGCCATTTAAAGATGCGAGTTCAGGGGGTTTGCTCCCACCATGTTCATTTCTCCACACCGGATAAGAGTAGAAGGCATTGCATTACCCCTTTCACTGGAATGATAAGATGCACAGTTACTGGGGTACTGAAAATGATCAGTTGCTTTATTGCCAATTTCTTTACTGGATCACTTTCATCCTGTTTAGATAGCAAGTGGGTAACTGCAGGAAAGTGAGCAGTTGGCTCCGCTCTGGACTCTGCAGTGGGGATTTTAGGTTTTATTAGATTTGAGTTTGGACTCCGAGAATTCTGGCTTCTTGGCCTTTTGACCTGAGGGGTGGAGCTAGAAGCAGCTGTCTCTTTTTACTGTCATTGTAAAAGTCAAATGCGCTGCTGGTTTGCGGAGACCGTCCATTCAGTGGAGAGTGCAGTTTGATGCTGAGAGACGGTGGGACCAGGGGCTCAGACACAAACCGTCCCCCAAAAACGAATGGAAAGGGCCAAAGAGGAATCCCTCGGAGCTCGGACTGGTCCAGGAGGCTACTGGTAAGGAGACTGGATCCCTGACCAGGGAATATCGGCAAAGATTCTACATATTGTAGATTCCGATTGTCAGAAAGAGTCTTTTTGGATTTGTGTGTGTGTGTGCGTATGCATACATGCTTGTATGTGAACATGTATGGATACGCGTCAATGCATTTGTGAGTCTGGATGTGTATATAACGTATTGAGTTTGTGTTTACGCAAACAGGTGTGCGTGTGCATTTATGTGAATCCACACTTGTATGGAAACATGTGCACATGTGTGTGTTCATGAGTATATGTGGCCAGGTGTGCATGGGTTTCCATGTGAGTGTGGGTAGGTGAACACGTGTGTGGTGTGTGTTTGTGTGTGTATCTTCACGTGTGCGCATGTGTGCATGTCCTGTCCCATTAATCATAATATAATAGCAATCCTTGCATTTGATATAGCGACTTATCACATCTTTGAGATGTCTC